TTAAGAAAAAAAAAAAGATTTATTTATTTATTTGAGAGAGAGAGTGAGAGAGAAAGAATGTGTGAGAGGGGCAGAGGGAGAGAGAATCTCCAGCAGATTCCATGCTGAGCATGGAGCCCAGCGCAGGGCTCAATCACATGACCCTGAGATCATGACTTGAGCCGAAACCAAGAGTGGGATGCTCAAGAGACTGAGCCACCTGGGAGCCCCAGTAACTTTTTAAAATTCACCAGTGGTGTTAAAGTTGAGTTTTGGAACTTTAAAAAATGTTAGAGCTTTAATCATCTTTTCTTTGTGTTATATTACAGAACAATAGCTGTAGATTTCCCTCAATGCAGGAGAAAGAATGTTTATCCACTAGGGTCACATCTTTGTAAGGCACCACCTAAAAACTGCATCAACACCAAATGCCCAATCTGAGGACTCATTTACCATTTTCCGCATCTAATATCAGAACCCCAGGCAATTTATTCAATATTCATTCAGCAAATATTTCTTAAACACTTCCTATTAATTATTTGCCAGCACACTGAAGATATTATATTGCATTTCTAAAACAAATGGAGACCCATTCAATAACTCTTTAATAAAGCATAGTGAAATTCATGTTGTGCAAATTCTCTCAGGACATAAAATGAGTGATAAATGGGTTCTTGCCCTCTAGAAGCTTACTTGAATGGGGAATTGTGCAAATCATGTTAAGGGACATACAAACTCTCTGAATGTAGGTCTAGAGAGCTCAGAGAAAGAATCAATTAACACCGACTTAGCAGATAAAAGATGATTGCATAATGGAACTGACATCTGCAGGCCCTCAAAATGAGTAGAGATAGAAAGGGAGAAAGGAAGAAAAGGGAATTCCAGGGAGAGGAACCCACATGAGCAAAGGCCCAGAAACAGGACTTCTCAGGACCAAGTGTTGAAATGTAGAAAGCAGTCCTGTGTAGCATGGGAGGGTACAAAAGGATGATGCTGGTGGGTGATGATGGTGTAGAGTGAAGAGGGAGCATGGAGGTTGGCTGGGACCATATTGTGAAGGGCACGGAGTTTGTGCACAGGTACCTTGGGATTGTATCCTAGAGAACCATAATTCCGAAAGCACTGGGGAAGATGGCTGGAAAGGGATAGGAAAGGGGTGTAGATGTATATGCATGTGTGGGGGGAGGGCAGGCATTATGGTTCCTTTTTTGAAGTAGTGTTGGAGTAACTTCACTAACTAAATAAAGGTAATTGGAGTTTTTTACAAGAATTAACTTCCCATATTTCTTAAGTAGAATTATTCCTTAATTATCAGATACATGGTCCTCTTAAAAAAAGAAATAGAGAAAATAACTTCATTATTTTCTTCCTAATATCAATATAATACATATTAGTTTCCAAGTAAGCATGTGATAGAAAGATTAAAAAAAAAAAGGTAGTATAAATGAATCACAATCACGCCACCAGAAAAAAACATTGTTTACATTTGACGCTTCAAATGTGGCTTTAATTCTACTACCTAGAACTAGACATTGAATAAGTTTTAATGATGGATAGAGTAACTTAAACAACTGGGGGCAAGCTCATTTTAAGCAGAAGTAAGTACAACAACTTTGGTCTTACTTTGCACAGTAAAACTTGCCAAGGAAGACATTTATTGTTACATTATGATAATTATAAATTGTTTATAATTATTCCAAAAATGTGCTAAGTCTTATGAAAAACACAGTTGGAAATTGTTTTATATTTTGCAATAAACACTTGTTTAGCACTTATTTTCTGCTTTGAAGCAAAAATGAAAAAATGCAAGTAGTAAAACCGAGTCATCCCTCCAATCTTCAATTATTTTCAAGTGGAAACTCAAGTGCTAAAGAATGGTAAATGTTATTCACTAGTTCAGCAACTCTTTAACAATTACCAATAATATGTATAACACTAAAAACTGATTTATCAGTGAACAAAATATAGGTTTTGTGCCTGCACACATGGAGTTCAAAATCTTATTTAGCTTAGCAAGATATTTTTTTTCCCTCTGCCTTTCCGAACAGAAATCCCACCCATTTTAAAAATCTGGCTCCATTTCCCCATTTCCGTGAAGTACTCTTGTACTGTTTTGACTCCTGCAGCTTTATTCCTTCTCTGACATTCCATAATTCTCAGATATGGTGTCATTTTTATATAATTTTGGTCCTACGTCATCAGAAAATGATCTCTGTTAAATGTATCTAAGTCCCTTCTCCTCAGTAAGATTATAAAAACATTCCTTAAAGACAAAGACTTGGGATGGGTGTAAGGGCCAAATTTTCTGAATATCTAGTAATACTGAGGAAGGAATCTAGTATATTCCTGATAAAAGCATTTGAATGTAACTGAAAAACTTATTTACTGGAAGCCTGGTTCCTGACCATACCAAAAGAGAAGTCAATAAAATTTGTCTTAGCATGGACACCTCACAATACTGGTGCAAATGAAGGGGATCTGGTAAGAATTTCCTAATGGACTCTCATGGCATACTCTTCTTTTCACTTGTTATCTTAAAGGTAAATTGTTCATTATTTCCTAAAATTGTCATATAATTTAAATGTCCCTAAATGATCTAAACAACAATCCAATCAGTTTTCCATTTCAAACAATAGTTAAATTAAGTCACAGTTACACATTAAATTTACAAAGGAGGAAAGAGGATTGCTTGACGTTACATTACCACATTTCCAACTGATTTAAAGCTGTGATGAATTAGAATACAGATAGACTATTAAAATAGGAAGTTCTGTGAATCCTATCTGTACTTTGGCATTTTGAAATAAGCTTATTGTTTTTATTTACAAATTTCTTCAGAAGCACTTTGAAAATCTATTACATGATTTATAAGACATGTTTTGAACAGGCATCTTCACAAAGTACGGCACAGTATCCAAATTAAGTATATCGCTTAAAGGAAACAAAAGCTGTAAGGAAGCTTAAGATGAAGATTTATGTTGATAGAACTATGACATGCTTGTCCTTTATTGTAACGTTTAAAGTTTAAAATCACTGTGTTCAAGGACATTTGAATGGCTACCTTCACTATCAAGGACTTCTAATTGGTGTAATTGGTGTTGGAGATGAACTTTTTCAGAAATGGGAAAACAGCTTGGGATATTTATGCCATGTGACAGGTTATGGTGAAGGGCATACAGTTTGAGACTGAACGAAAACAGCTATAAAGAAAATGGAAAAATTCCACGGGAAAGTTCTTATTCCATATGAAGTAGAATTTGCTCCTCAAATTATGCTCACCCAAATGTTTTTTATTCTCTATTTTACAATGGATCCTTCTGGAGCCAATTTACTCCTATTAGAAGACATGTCTACTAATTTTTAAGAAGTAGAAAGACTTTCAAAACTGGGAAGAACATTTTCTCCTGGTGCTGTCATCATCCATCTTTGACAATTACAAATCCCCTCTTCCCCAGCTCTCTGGCCATATCTAGGTAAGGCCAATAGGAGAAAGCATTTAATACATTTTTTTTATACCTAAATTGCAAATTCTAATTCTAAAGTCAGGCAAAATAAATGTAACATTCCAAAAGACAATGGCAGAATGTTTTCTTTATTTTCACGGGAAATATGTGGTTGGCCACCATTATGGTAAAATCTAAGATGTCACAGGCAAGACACAAACCAGTCTTCCAAAGAACAACAGACCAACTGACATTAAGAAAGAATCACTTTAAAAGGTCAAAGAAGCTCTTTATACCCCCACACAAAAAGGCTCTCCCTTAATGTCATCTTGTACTTTCATGTTTACCTGTTTAATAGTCCTGTCTGCTAGCCATGTGGACCAAGGGTAATTAACTACATTTCTTAAAGACAGAAACCACACCCCTTTGCTTTTTTGTAAAAAGTCTTAGCCCACTGTGGGTGCTTAACTATATTTCATTAACAAAAGGAGTAATCTACATACAAATTTGCTGAAAAATCAACCACACAGTAGGTAACATCCCTGTTGTCTCACTGAGCCTCATTCTGATCACAGAAACAGATGTTCAAACAAACCAAAGAGAAGAGTATGGCTAATGCAATTTAGGATAGCTCATCAAGTCTCAGTTGGCTAATCTGATTTATGACATCTCACCAAGTTTCAGGGTTTATAGTAGTGTGTTACAAATAAGCGATACTATAGCAGAAAAAGCAAAACAAACAAGCCTCAAGGACAACAAAAAAACCGTGTTAGTGTTAGTAAGAGTTAATGCCACAAAGAGAGAATATGGTCCACTGATCATGGTCTGTTTCTCTCTCTCCTTGCTTCTAAAGGGATTCAGGAACAACCATCTTCCCCCACTGAATGTGCCACTTAGGCATGTGGATTTTGACCTAAAGACAGTGGAGACCCTCCAGGCTCAAGAGAAACTTTTGCCCCTCCCATAAACACATAGAAGAATCTCAGTTGGGGGTCTTTCCCAGAACAAGGGCTATTAGCAGAAGTAAGTTTTATCTGAGTGACCCATCTGTATGGCAAGGCAAATATCTAATTACCAAACATCTGTTCTTCTTATGGCCCTGTGAAGTGGACTCCTTTCCTCTGAAGTCCCAGACCCCTACCCACTTCTTAGCTCAGGATGACATATATACCTTATTTTGCGTGTCTATGTGGATTCCCTATACATATGCTAGTAAATTTGATTTTCTCCTGTTACTCTGTCTCGTGTCAATTTGATTCTTAGTCCACCTTAATTCTTTTTATAATCCATTGCTGACCAAAGTGTGTACCAGATAAGAACATAAATAATAAAGCTGATGCCAGGTTTTTTATTTTTTAATTCATATTTCAAACAGGATTTTCTAACTGATGTTTTCCTTGGAAGATTAAGAGTAACAAAGCCTCATGTTCTTTGGACATGGAGCACCCATTTTTCAGGACAGGTAAGTTTTTAAAAAAGCCTTGTTGGTGGAGACTGGTTAATACAGGTGATCAGAAATGTGGGTACATATTCACAAAGAAACAAATTGGAACATTGTAAGTGTGCATTCTCACTGACCTTCAGGTTGGTATTGTGCTATAATTGTCACCGTCTGTCCAGCCCCCTTCAGTGCAGCGGCAGCCTGTTCATGAGATGCTCCACGGAGGTCAATGCCATTCACCTGGAAGAGGAAGCCAGAGAATTTTGGCATTTCATAAGGCAGATTATTCTGATAGAAGAAAAATGTTTCTCCAAACTGAGAAGCTAAGATTATGTCCCCTGCTTCAAAACCCCTCCCATCCTAACCAAGGCATGTGAGTGTTACTTAGCAAGTCTCAGGCTCATGACAACTTTTAGTTAGCAAAGACATGGAATTTCATCTCGTGGCGTTTATAGTATGTCTGACTGGGTTGAAACTTCGTCTAAGCATGTCTACCAGAATTTTAGTGTGCGCATTTAATGTGCCTCTGTGAGTTTCCTAGATTTCTGGGGGTGGTCATGAGCCTTCAAAATTAGAGGAAAAACGGGATAGTGAGGACAGACACATGTAACGTACACAGACGAGTGTGTGCTGACAGATTAATGTATTCAGACGAGGTTTCGGGGCAGACTATGAAATGCAGCTGGCTACCTGCCAAATCCCTCCTTTTGGTCGTATGCCTGGTCCTGTCATCCCGAGCTTGGTTGGACAGCCCTGAGCCTTGTTCCAAAATAAACTTGACTGCCCCATTTCTCATGTACAATTCCAGAATGAATTCTGACAAAATGAAACAAAGAATGCCTGGAGTTTATGTTGCTGTTGCTAACTCCCATTTTGGGGCCGATGCCAAAAGAGAAACAGAACATCTAAAAAACAAGCACAAAACTCTGCCGAAAGGGAAAAATCATTCTGACGTCAAATTTAATGAGAAGTAAAAGCTAAAATCTTTCTCAAATCAATTCAGTCTTAGTCAACATAATATAATTACTGAGTGCTTTCCAACGTCAGGGCTCTGTTTCTGCCTCAGGAGAGGGACCAGGGGCGGAGAACAAAGGTGAACAAGGCAGGCCCCTAAGCAGCTTTTCTGCTTCGACTGAACACACAGTAAATCCAGTTTTCCAACCTACAAAGAGCTAGTTTTTTGCAGCTGATGCCACAATTTGGCTTCCTTTTATTTACAGAGAAGCTGGCTATCGTCCATGAAAAGTAATAATAAAAAAACCCTGACCAGTTGCATGTAAAATATAAAATCTTATTTTGCCTCTCATCTTTTTGACAACGATACTGGGTGGTGGATGGTGAGTTGCCTCTGTTTCCCTGTCGGGGCTGAAATATCTGTGTTCTTTAATTCTACACCCTAGTCCTCTCATAATAGCTTCGTGAGAGTCTCCTTATCCACTTTTATAATTGTCCATGCCTCTTCCCTGCTTTCTATTTTGGTGAGCTCCTTACTGAGAGCATGGATGACATGGTAACATGGAGAAGTCCAGGCAGCTGGGTGTGGCCTGACCGTGCCACTCACCAGCTGAGCCACTACCCTTTCACCTCCCAAGACTCAATACTCTTCTGCCTCGGAGGGAAGGGATTGTAAGACTCCTTGAGTCTAAAGCCCCTTTGAACTATAGAATTCTGGATTTACCTGTTAGGAGACGACAGTCATTTCAGACTGTCTAGTTACAGATGAGTCAGAATAGGACTCAGACAGCCGAAGAGACAGGAAAAGTAAGAAGATATAGGCTCTTGCCTATAGGAAACTGAATGAAGAAACTTCGTGAGCCAAATAATCTCTTGTCAAACAATTAGGGTTAACTTCTTATTAAAAAATAATATATGATTGTGGTAAATGAATTCTAATGTTTCAGAAAGGTATCTGAGGAAAGTAAAAAAAATCCCCTCAACCATCTTCCCTCCCAGAGGTAACCAATGTTAGCAGTTTTTTGTGTATACTTTTTAGAAATCTACTATATGCGTATGCATGCACCCAACTTTATCTCTATTTCTGTTTCTTTCTTTACATATTTTAGTATATCATCATACTTTTAGTTAAGTGAATAGGATCATATCATATATATAATTTTATAACCTGCTTCTGTTTTGCTTTTCATTTAACAATATATGTTGGACAACTTCCGTATCAGCTCATACCATTTTACCTTCTTAACAAAAGCCCAGTAATCCACAGTATGGATGGACCAGCATTTTTTTCAAAAGGATTCCCACCATTGTAAGTTGTAAGGTTGTATCCAGATTTTTGCTACTATGAACACTTATGAAGGTGTTTCTGAAGGGTAAATTCCCCGGAAAGATACTTTCTAAGTCAAAGGGTACAGGCATTATTTGTTTCTCTTAATTTTTTCTTGCATGTTTTTAACATGATTATGTATTCACTTAGCAAACAGAAACCAATAAAGGAAAAAGCAAAAAAAAAAAAAAAGGCCAGAATCTCCTAGTCCAAATAATGTGTTGATATAAAAAAATAAAACTAATATATGTACATAATGCACATACATAGAATTAAAGCAATACAAAAGGCATAAAAATAAAATGGTCCCCCTAACTCTATTATTCTAAGCGTAACCATTTTGATAGCTTTTTGTATATACTACCAATTATTTTTGTTATGAATATAAGGAGGTTTATCAAGTTATAATTTTAAAATTTTATACAAGTGAGATATTTTACATGTAGTTTTATACCTTTATTTTTCCCACTTACTAATATATCTTAAAAGAACTTTCTTCATTCACATATTCCTATACATTGTCCTGTTCCTTTTGATAGCTGTGAAGTGTTTTATTATTTATTATTTATTTATTTTACCAGTGCAGGGTTGATGGACCCTTAGGTTGTTTCAGTATTTTGCTATTATAAACAATGCTACAGTAAATACCACGTAACAACAACTTGTCGAATAAAGGGTGTGAGTGTTAAATTTTGATGCTATTGTCAAGCTGTCTCCAAAAATTTATACTCTCACACACAAACTATGACGGACTTTCCTCACAGTCTTGTAGAAATTGCATATACTCCAACATTTAACCTTTGCCGTTCTGATATGTAGACAATTTTATTTTCAAATTTTGCCTTCCTACAATTATGAAGTTAAACATCTTTTTATGTTTGCTGGTTATTCATGTTTCTTTTTGCATAAAATGGCAGTTTGCTTATTTCACCTATTTTCTACTTATATAGTTTTTTTTTTTTAAAGATTTACTTATTTATGAGAGAGAGAGAAAGAGAGACAGAGTGTGTGAGGAAGAGGGGTAGAGGGACAGAGAGACAGAGTCCCAAACTGACTCCTTGCTGAGCGCGAAGCCCAATGCGGGGCTCGATCCCACGACTGTGAGCTCATGATCTGAGGAGACTGCTATGAAGTACTAAATGCCTTAAAAACTTGTTCTTCCAACACTTAAACATTAGAACATAGGAGAAGGGACCTGCCCAGAGTCATACCAGAGTTAGCATAGCCCCGGGTTTCTCTTGTCCAGCCTAGGCTTCTTCCCTCTGTAGCAGATATATCCCACTATGGGTGAGTGTTCATTTTCCACTGGGCCAGTAATAACCAAATCTGGCTGTTATCCTGAACCATACCACACTGCCCAGGTACCTGTTGATTTTCCTCCAGGTTTTGGCAAACATGCTCTCCTCCAGTCAAATTTTTCAAGGTCACTTTGACTCTTATTTCCCTCTCTGAGGTTTTGAGATTTTATCAGTAATCTTTGCTCAAATAACATTTTTAGGTGTATTTAAAAACAGTTTACATCATTGATATGACATTGTATTTTATTTTTTTTTAAACAACTTTTTTAAAGATGTATTTATTTATTTGAGAGAGCACATGAGTGGAGGGAGGGGCAGAGGGAGAGGGAGAAAGAGACTCTCAAGCAGAGTCCCTGGTGAGCACAGAGCCTGATGGGGCTCCCATAACTCTGAGATCATGACCTGAGCAGAAATCAAGAGTCGAATGCTTAACTGACTGAGGCACCCAGACACCCCAGAGAAGGAGAGAGAGTCTTAAGCAGACTCCATGCTGACCATGGAGCCTGATGTGGGGCTCGGTCCCATGACCCTGAGATCACGACCTGAGCCAAAACCAAGAGTTGGACACTTACCTGACTGTGGCACCCAGGTGCCCCTGATGACATTTTAAAATACCAAGTGTGACAGAGCCTCATATATTTATTATTTCTATTTTTCTACTTCAGCTTGCATTTTCTCTTCTTTAAGCATAAACTGGGAAATTGGAGGTCACTATTCTTTTTTTTCTTTAAATTTTTTAATTGTTATGTTAATCACCATGCATTACATCATTAGTTTTTGATGTAGTGTTCCATGATTCATTGTTTGTGTATAACACCCAGTGCTCCACGCAGAATGGAGGTCACTATTCTTGAGTTTGATAATTATAACCAGTTAACATTCATTGAGCCTCAAGCATGTTCATATGCTTATTATACATATTATATATTAGAGAATTATTATACTTATAATATATACTTATTATATTATTATACTTAGATATTTACACATTATCTTGTAATTCTTAGGAGGCTAGGATTATTTTTCTGGTTTTATGAATAAGAAAATTGAGCTCAGAAAAGAATCACTGACCTGCTCAAAGTTAAACAGTTGGAAGAGGTTCAGGATTTAAACAGTCGAATTAAAACTCCTGAGCTCTTAATTCCAATTCCTACTGCTTTTCCTTTAATATGTTATTCAATTCTGAGTCTATGCTTCTAAGATTCCAGTTCTGAAGCTTGCCTCTCAAGCTCCCTGAAACTGACAGAACACAGTTGGGTGTGGCACCCTGGTCAGCTCTACCATGGCCCCAAGCAACCTGGTTTAAACATCATGACCCAGTTTATAATGATTTGATCACACCAGGCTGAAGCAAAAGGCTTTGGGCAGGCTAGAAAAATTCCATCTAGTGCTGTTTATGTATACAACTGTCACTGGATCATAGAAAAAAACTAAATTCTACTTGTTATGACATCCTTTTCACAACCATGTTGGTAATCAATAGAAATTTTAGCACTTCTAGTTGATTCAAGTAGTTGTAGGTTTTATTCAGATGCTAATGTGAAGGTGAACCGTGCGCCATGTCCAGAGTCAACACTTTAACTATTTTTTTTTAAAGATTTTATTTATTTGACAGAGAGAGACACAGTGAGAGAAGGAACACAAGCAGGGGGAGTGGGAGA